GAACAGGACAATCTTGCCCACTTTCCCGTTTGTTTGAGTATCTCAACCACTATTTCTGGTACTTTTCCTTGCAGTCGGCTGGCTACCAAAGTTAGCCGTTTACTAAGTGAATTTGAGCAGCGCTTCTCTGACTTTAGAACACAGCACTCAGGCTTTGACATCTTTGCCAATCCTTTTACAGTTGATGTCAACAATGTGCCCCATCACCTTCAGATGGAGATAATCGAGCTTCAGTCTGACAGTGGCCTGAAATCAAGGTTTCAGGATGTTGAAATTGAGGACTTCTACCCTCTACTGCCCCCTGACTCAATGCCAGAGCTCCGACTTCATGCTGCCCGTATTCTAGCCATGTTCGGGAGCACCTATCTTTGTGAACAGATGTTTTCAATAATGAATCTGAACAAAAACAAGCACAGATCACGCATTACCGATGACAACCTCCATGCTGTTTTGCAGTTGCTACAGCCCAAGAAATAAAACCGAACATTGACTCATTGATCCGGGGAAAACGGTGTCAGACATCTAGCCAGAAAACAAAACAATGAGCATTTTAGGTACATTCCAATATTACTGTTTTGCTTGATACCAATATTACTGTTTTGCTTGATAGCATGTGAGTTGGTTAACAGCACTGTTAAGAAAAAGATTGTTCCACTCATTTTAAATTCACATTTCTGGTTAACATTGTCAGTTTATGACTGTTCAGTAAACCATTCGGCCCGCGATTTAGGCTGGATTTTAGATTTTGGCCCCTTCTCTGATTGAGTTCGACACCCCTGCTCTGGGACAACTTTAAGTATACCAACATTCACATAATAGGGGTGCTAGAAGAGTAAGAGAGGGAGAAATAAATTGAAAACCTATTTTAAAAAATGACAGAAAACTCCCCTTACCTGGTAAAACAAATACACATACAAGTTCAGGAAGTGCAGAGAGTTCCAACAAGATGAACCCAAAAGAGGCCCACAATAATACAAAGCATAATTAAAATACCAAAGGTTAAAAATAAAGAGGGAATCTTAAAAGCAATAAGAGAAAAGCAGTTAGTTACCTATAAGAGAGCTCCCATAAGACTGTCAGTTGATTTCTCAACAGAAACTTTGTAGTCCAGAAGGGACTGACCAGAAATATTTAAAGTGATGAAAAGCAAAGATCTACAGCCAAGATTACTCTACTCAGGAAAGCCATCATAAAGAGCTTCACAGACAAAAAAAGAAAGAAAGAAAAAAAAAAAGCTAAAGGGGTTCATTACCACAAAAACAATATTCTGTGAATTATTAAAGGGTCTTATTGAAGAAGAAGAAGAAGAAGAAGAAGAAGAAGAAGAAGAAGAAGAAGAAGGAGGAGGAGGAGGAGGAGGAGGAGGAGGAGGAGGAGGAGGAGGAGGAGGAGGAGGAGGGGAAAGGATCAAAATGTGAACAATAAAATGGCAATAAATACATATCTATCAACAATTGAAACTAAAAATAAAAATAAATGAAAAAGAAATCTAATTAACACAAGCTAATAAATACAATAAAACAGACAATAGAAACATGGAACAAACTGACGAATCTTGGGGTGGTGAGGTGTGGAAATATATTATCAAAGATCTTCTATGCATACTAGAGGCTTGGTGCATGAATTTGTGCATGGGTGGGGTCCCTTGGCCTGAGCCCACCCTGGCCGGACTGGGGAAATAACTGAGGGAGTTTGGCTGGCCAGCCTGCTCTAATCAGGGCTGATCAGGGTTAGTCATCTGGGGGAGGGACCACAGGAGGTTGGCTGCCATGGGAAGTAGGCTGTGGAATCACACTGACCACCAGGAGGCAGCTCCTGCATTGAACTTCTGCTCCCTGTGGTCAGTGCTTGTCATAGCGATTGGTTGGTCATTCAGTTGCTTAGATTTATATATATATATATATATATATATATATATATATATATATATATATATATATATATATATATAAATCTAAGAGTCCTGGTGCATGAAAATTCATGCACTCTGCACTGTGGGAGGGCGGGGCAGGGGTGGTGGTGTCTCAGCCTGGTTTTCACCCTCTCACAGTCCAGGAGCCCTTGGGGGATTTCTGATGGCAGTCGGACATCCTTAGCACTGCTGCAGAGGCAGGAGAGGTTCCCACCACCACTGCTGTGCTCGCCAGCCATCAGCTTGGCTTGTGACTGAGCGGTGCTACCCCTGTGAGGGTGCACTGATCACTAGGTGTCAGCTCTGGCCTTGCCCCCCATCACCCTACTGATGCCACCAGTGGCTTCCCTCAGTGGGAGGTGACTAGTGGGCTGACCAGGGGCTGGGACTGGCTATAACAAAAGATGAATAAAGGCCAGTGTCTGTAGTGTAGTGCTTATCATGTTCGCCTAACAAAAGATAAATAAGACCCAGCCAATGTGGCTCAGTGGTTGCATGTTGACCTATGAACCAGGAAGTCATGGTTCAATTCCTGTGGTCAGGGCATATGCCCAGGTGTGGGCTTGATCCCCAGTGTGGGGCATGGAGGTGACGGTTGATCAATGATTCTCTGTCGTCATCATTATCATCATCATCATCATCATCATCATCATCATATCTCTCTCTCTCTCTCTTCCTCTTCCTCTATGAAATAATTTTAAAAAATATATATTTTACTGATTTTTTGCAGAGAGGAAGGGAGAGGGATAGAAAGTTAGAAACATCGATGAGAGAGGAACATCAGTCAGCTGCCTCCTGCACACCCCCCACTAGGGATGTGTCTGCAGCCAAGGTACATGCCCCTGACTGGAATCAAACCTGGGACCCTTCAGTCCTTAGGCCGATGCTCTATCCACTGAGCCAAACTGGTTTCGGCGAATTAATTTTTTTTTTTTAAAGAAAGGTGAAGAAGGACCCAGCAACTCCACTTTCGTGGTATTTATCTGAATAAACCTAAAAAACTAAATAGAAAAAGATATATACATGTATATGTTTATTGCAGAATTATTTATAACTAGCGGCTGGTGCATGAATTCATGCACATGTGGGGTCTCTCAGTGGCCTATGGGGATCGAGCTGAAACCTGTGGTTCAATGTTGTCTTCCACTCCTGCCTGCTGCTCCTGCTCATCCTGGCCCTGCTGCACCTGCTGTGGACTTGCACCATTGTCGCAAGCCCTTAGCCCTGCATCTGTCGTTGATCTCAAGGGTGGTAGGGAGAGCTGAGATGTAACCAACCCTCTGGACAGGCTGTGGGATGACCTTGCCAAGCAGAGATCCGGACCTGTCCTGTCAACATTCGGGCTGGTTCTCAGGAGCCACCTAGCAGCCATCGCTCTTACGCCATTTCTTCCTTGCAGGTGGCCAGTGGCCCTGTTGGGATCATGTTGGTGGCGCCTGCCCATCAGTGCCTGGATCGTTCTCTGGAGAGTGGACCTGTGGGACTACTGAGGGAGTGAGTGGCTGCTGCAGAGCTGGTGGGCCGCCAGGATGGGTCGGTCAGCTGAGCAGTGCTTCTGCTGTGGGAGCACACTGACCACCAGGAGGTAACTCCTGCATTGAGCATCTGCCTCCTGGTGGTTAGTGCCAGTCATAGCTACTGGTCATTTGGTTGCTTAGGCATATAGATAGATAGATAGATAGATAGATAGATAGATAGAAAGATAGATAGATATAGATATAGATATGGAAACAACCTAAGTGTCTATCAATAAATTAAGGGATAAAGAAGAAGTTTTCAGTGCATATATACAATTAAATATTACTCAGCATAAAAAAGAATGACATATATCTGTAACAATATAGATAGACCTAAGAGTATTATGCTTAGTGAAATAAGTCAGTCAGAGAAAGATAAATGTCAGATGATTTCACTTATATATGGAATATAAAAACAAAATAAACAAGCAGAACAAAAAACAGTTTCATAGATATAGAGAACGTTTTTGATAAGTGGTTGCCTGATGAGAAAGGGTTTGTGAAATGGGTGGGATGGGTGAAAAAGGTGAAGGGATTAAGAAGTACAAATTGAAAGCTACAGAATAATCATGGGGATATAAAGAACAGCATAGGGAATAAGTTAAAATATTTTAATAACTACATATGGTGTCAGATGAGTACAAGGTTTATTGGGGTGATTACTTCATAAGATATATAAATGTCTAATCTTGAGATTGTATACCTTGAACTAATAAATTGTGTCAGCTATAATTTAAAAATTAAAAAACTCAAATTACTTCAATGTTACCGCTCCAATGGCTCTAAGTTCTTTGTTCTCTTGCAGTCACATAAGTTTAGAAAATAGTCGTAAAATGAAAAAAAAAATTGAAAAATTTTAAGATAGTGGTTTTATATTGTAAGTATCTTGAAGCAAGAGATCATATTTTATATGTGTGGTTTTTTGTTGTTGTTTTTTGTTCTTTCACAGAAACTTTACTTGTCCCCAGAAAACTTTATATTCATAGTATTTATAGCATGGTAATTTAGTTATTATTTGAAACTTATTAAACATATTTCTATACTGGGCATCATTTACCTTTATAATTATAATCCTCAAATGGAATCATTAAGATAACAGGTTAAAAATTAGTCTATGCTAGAATTGGGCTTTATTTACAAGTGACTTTTAGTATAAAAATGAATTCCATGGTACTAGGGACAAATTTCTTACTCTCCTTTTTCCCTTTGGAAATGACTGACTACTTAGATCTTGAGCTTTGATATTTCCCAACAGTCTTCCATGCCCACAAATGGTCAGACTGAGTTACTTCTTTACTAGAATGAGTCATCACTCTTCTGAAATTTTCACTTTACTTTATTATAGCTTAACTATATTGCATTGTAACAATTTATTTACACATCTGTATCTCACACTAGATTGAGCTATTTGGGTTCAGGCTCTCATCTTATGCCCTTAGTAGGCAGAAGAATGACTGTCAGGTACTACCTGTAAGCTTGTAAGGGCAGGGGTTCAATAAATGTTAAATGAGAACAGAAAGACATATGCAGATATCAAAGAAAGATACCATCTAAACATCATATGTACTCACCACATAATTAAAGGATGTATCAGCGACCACTGCAAACTGACGGTACAATGTGTGCCTAGTAAACATCTCATTCTTAAGGACATGAAAACTGGGGGGGAAGCAACAGTAAAATTAGGATATATAGAAATCATAGGATAAAGCAAATCAGTATGATGTTTATGTAGTTAGGAACTAAAATTCTCAATGTTAGAGTAAAAAACATAGGAATAAAAAATTTAAAATATGAGTATGAACTGATTTCTTCTTTTATTTTTAAAATTACGTATTTTCCAGCTTTGAGAGACACTGAAGCAATGGCAACACCATTTCAATGAACCACCTGAGGTCCTCTAGGCTAAAACATTTTAAACATTTTAAAACATTTCTCCCAAAATGCATATTTCAGAAATAGCTCTTTCTAGAACTAAAGCAATAAATATACAGGATAAGTCTGGAGCATTTTATTGTTAAGGGAGTCATAAAAAATTACGTAAAACACACACCACAGAGTTGTTATTTTTAAAGGGCTCCAATAAAGTTAAGATTGGAGAAATTAAGCATAAAAATAATGACTATAATGTATTGAAGCAAACATACATTAAATCTTTAAAAAATTCTCAGTCTATCTATATTGCAAATAATGCTAAAATTAGGAGATTCACTATCAAGAAAGAATGCTGTGTAGAGAAAGTCAAGTGTATGCTGGAAAACCTTTGGCAAGCTAGTAGGAAGAAAAAAATTACAGTATTTAGTCACACAAGGCACTCTTAGAAGAGATTTTGGTTTGTGACTCATGGATCAAAACCACTACAGAATTATAAGGTTGACTAAAGCCAAAAGACAGACAACAAATGTTAAAAAGGACCAAGAGAAATTGGAACCCTCATTTATTGTGGAATTGTAAAATGGTGTAGCCACTTTGGGAAACAGTTTGGTAGTTCCTCAAAAATGGTAAACAGAATTATCATGAGACCCAGTAATTCCTTCCTATGTGTATACACAAGAGAATTTAAAACATATGTTCACATAAATGTTAATAGCAGCATTATTTATAGTAGCCAAAAAGTGGAAATAATTCAAATGTCTAATAAAGAATGCATAAAAATGTGGTATAATCATACAATAAAATATTATTTGGCAGTCCAAAGTAGCAGAGTACTGATGTATTCTACAACATAGAGGAACTTGGAAACATGCCAAGTGAAAGAAGCTAGCCATAAAAGTCCACATATTTTATGATTCCACTTATATGAAATGTCCAGAATAGGCAAATCCTTAGCAACAGAAAACAGATTAATGGTTGTTAGTGGTTGACAGGAAGGGGATGGGAGGCAACTGCTAATGGGTATGGGGTTCCTTTTTGGGTTGATAAAAATGTTCTTATTTAGAAAGTGGTAATGGTTGCCCAACTCTAAATACACCAAATCCAATTTTAGAAAGGTAATTTTATGGAAGTAAACTATGAATCAATAGTTATTATACATTAAGTTACTGTGTATGCTAAAAATAGGATCTTATCCTATCTAATAATCTACACCAATAGGAGAGAAAAATGCTACAATAATTGACCATACCTTTGCTCCACCCACAGCCAATCAGAGTGAGTATGCAAATTAACCCAACAAATATGGTGTTTAATTTGCATACACTGAGGGAGGGAGGAGTAAAGATTGAAGATAGCATAGAAGGAAGAGGGAGGGAAAGTTGAAAGTAAGATGGCTGCTGGAGAGAAAGAGTGCCCCACCCACCCTGCCTGCCCAGCCCCGCCCACCACAGCAGGAGATGTGGGGTAGGGGGTACGGGAGAGGTAGCAGTGGCGGGAGGGAAGCCCACCGGATGCCCTGTTCTTGCAAGAATCTTCATGCAACGGGCCCCTAATCCTATCTAATAAGAATAATATGCAAATTGACCATCACTCCAACACACAAGATGGCTGCCCCCATGTGCTCAGTGGATAGAGCCACAGCCTGCAGACTGAAGGGTCCTGGGTTTGATTCTGGTCAAGGGCACATTTTTGGGTTGTGGGGTCAATCCCCAATAGGGCGTGTGCAGGAGGCAGCAGATTGATTCTCTCTCATCATTGATGTTTCTATCTCTCCCTCCCTCTGCCTTCCTCTTTGAAATCAATAAAAATACATTAACAAAAATAAAAACAAATAGGTCATCAATCAAACATCGCTGCTCTCCATCCACCCAGTCCCCTCACAACCTCGTTTGTCTTTGTCTCCCCAACACATACACACTCTGCTGGGGTCTGTAAAATGGGGTCAGGATTTCTACTTCAACCAAGGGCCATGCTTCCGCACAGCCCTCCTTTTCTGCCCATCTCTGTCCCCAGTCCTGTGGGGTCTCTTCCTTCCTCTCCTCCATCTAACTTGGTGGGCTCTGCTCTGCACCCTCCTCCTTTGACTTCCTGTTTGCAGCCTCCCCCTTTCTCCTCCAGGGGTGAAGCTTCCCAAAGGCTGTGCGGGGAGAGCCCAGATGGGCCTTGGAGGAGAGCTGAGGTGACAAGTCACAGGGAGAAGGGAGGGACGTGGAGCCTGCCCTGTGAGAGGCACCGGGCTCCTTGGCTGCTCCCACCCAGCAGCTTTTCTAGGCCCTTGCGCAGCTGTCACCCTCCGCCCCTCGCTGCCTCCTGCTTCCTTTCAAATTTTGGACTCAGTTTCTCCAACTCAGCTCCATGCCCCCTCTCTGCTGCATCCCTGGGAGCCCGAAGCCACGCCTTGGCCTCAAGCAGGGGCGCCTGGCCCGTCTCCCCATAATGGTGCTACCCATTCTCCTGGAGTAGTTAGTGAAATTTAACAAATAAAGAGAAACAGCTCTGAAGATTACAAATTGTGTACTGAGGGTGCCACAGGCTGTAGAGAGCTGTGCAGTCTACAGCTCTGGGATCAAGCATCCTCCTGCACCACCCAGTGCCTCCTGGCTTCTGCCCCTGCTGGGTCTCCACCCAGAGCTTGGGCCAAAGCCTGGGAGCTTCCAGACAGCTTTCACCTCACACCTCACTTTTCAATCCAGCCCACAAGCTCCCACAGCAAGCTAACCTATCAGTCAGAACGTCTGCCTCCTGGTGGTCAGTGCATGTCATAGCAACTGTTCGAGTGGTCTAGCACCCAGTCGAACTGTGGTTGAGGGCACAATTTGCATAGTGGGCTTCTACCATATTTTTCAGACCATAAGACGCACTTTTTTCCCCCCAGAAGTGGGGGAAAAAAGTCCCTGCGTCTTATGGTCCAAATATAGCCTACACATATACTTTAAAAAAAAAGTTTTTTTTACTTGCCCGACTCTGTGTGGTCTCTGTGTGCTTGCCCGGCTCTAAAATGGTTCTAAATGCTGCTGTTTACTTTACAGGGTTGATTACATGTGTTTATGACTGTGATGTTGGGTTTTAATGCACATAAAATATTTTAGGACACTATTTGTTTCAGAATCTTTTTTTCTTCATTTCCCTTCTCTAAAAACTGGTGCGTCTTATGGTCTGGAGCGTCTTATGGTCTGAAAAATACGGTATTATATAGGATTGTTAGATTTTGTCATTTGTTGTTGTTTTGCTATTGTGTTGGGTGAATTTTCTTTGCTTTTGTTAATCCTCACCTGAGGCTACTTTTCCAATGATTGTTCTAGAGAGAGTGGAAGAAAGAGGGAGAGACACAAAGAGAGATAGATTGATGGGAGATACTCAGAGATTGGTTGCCTCCAGCACGTGCCTGAGGATGGAGCCTGAAACCCTTGACTGAAATTGAACTCCCTGCCCTTTAGGCTTAGGCTGATGCTCTAACTTAGGGGTGTCGAACTCAATCAGAGAAGGGGCCAAAATCTAAAATCCAGCCTAAATCTCGGGCCGAATGGTTTACTGAACAGTCATAAACTGTCATTGTGATGGAAACGCAGCGGAGTGCAGTGATGACAGCGCAGTGCGGGCCACATTGCAAGGCCTGGTGGGACGGATTTGGCCCGAGGGCCTTGTGTTTGACACATGTGCTCTAACTACTGAGAAAAACTAGCTAGTGCTATGTGAGTTCTTTCTATACTTTTGGTTATTAACCCTTTATCATCTATATGATTTCCAAGTATTTTCTCCCATTCTGTAAGTTGTCATTTACTTTTGATGATGATTTTCTTTGATGTGCAGGAGCTTTTTAGTTTGATGTAGTCTCATTTGTTCAATTTTGGTATTGTGGCCTTTGCTCTTTGTTTCAAATCCAAAATATCATTGGCAAGACTAATGTCAAGAAGTTTACTTTAGGTTTCCTTCTAGGAATTTTAGTTTCAGATCTTAGATTTAAGACCTAAACCATTTGAGTTAACTTTTGTGTACAGGGTAACACAGGGTTCCAGTTTCATTCTTTTGGGTGTAGTTGTTCAATTTTCCCAGCACAATTCATTGAGGAGACTATCCTTTCCCTTCTAAGTATTCTTGGCTTCTTTGTCATAGATTAATTGACCATATATGTGGATTTACTTCTGGGTTTTCTCTTTTTTTCCATTGATCTGCATGTCCATTTTTATGCCAATACTCTATTGTTTTGATTATTATGGCTTTGTACTATAGTTTGAAATCAGGAAGCATGATGCCTCTAGTTTTGTTCTTTTTCAAGACTGTTTTGGCTATTTGTGGGTATGTGGGTTTTTTTTGTGTGTGTGTGTGTTTTGTTTGTTTGTTTTTTTTTGTTTGTGTGTGTGTGTGTTTCTACACACATTTTAGAATTGTTTTTCCTATTTATTTGAAAAATTCCATTGGAATTTTGATAGGGATTGCATTGAATCTTTGGGTAGTAATGGACATTTTAAGAACATCAAATCTTCCAATCCATGAGCACAGAGGATTTTTCCATTTATTTTCATCTTCTGCAATTTTATTCATCAATGAAATAATGTTCACTATATAGATCTTTTACTTCTTTGGTACATTTATTCATAAGTATTTCATTCTGTTTTTTACATACCGTATTTTTCAGACCATAAGACGCACTTTTTTTCCCTCAGAAGTGGGGGAAAAAAGTCCCTGCGTCTTATGGTCCAAATATAGCCTACACATATAGTTTTAAAAAAAAGTTTTTTTACTTGCCCAGCTCTGTGTGGTCTCTGTGTGCTTGCCCGGCTCTAAAATGGTTCTAAATGCTGCCGTTTACTGTTTACAGGGTTGATTACATGTGTTTATGACTGTGATGTTGGGTTTTAATGCACATAAAATATTTTAGGACACTATTTGTTTCAGAATCTTTTTTTCTTCATTTCCCTTCTCTAAAAATTGGTGCGTCTTATGGTCCTGAGCGTCTTATGGTCTGAAAAATACGGTAGTTTTTGTTTTTAAATATATTTTAATTGGTCTTGGAAAGAGAGGAAGGGAGATTGTAAGAGAGAAATATCAATGATAGAGAAACATCAGTTGGCTGTCTCCTGCATGCTCCCTACTGGGGATCAAGTCCATAATCCAAGCACGTGCCCTGACCGAGAATCACAGGTTGATGCTCAACCATGGAGCCACACCAGCCAGGCAGTATTTCACTCTTTTTGATGCAACTGTAAATGGGATTGTTTTTTTTTTTAAATTTTGATAATTTGTTATTAATGTATAGAAAGATGATTTCAAAAACTAAAAGAAAGAAAAGTAACAGATTTTTGTATATTGATTTTGTATCCAATTCCTGGAGATGAGGTGGGAGCGGCTTCATCACAGTGGCAACGCCCAGGTAGTGATCTATTTCTGAGCTGATGTGGCACACCTGTGCACCATTGTGTCGAGAGAAAAGGCAATGATGACATCAGCAGCAGAGCCAGGGATGCCTTGTTAAGAAGGACTAGTCCTTGCTCTTGTCAGCACTGCTTAAGTTTGATGTTCCCAAAAATAGAGCTAATTCAGCAGAGACAAAAAAGGAGCTTGGAGAAGAAGCTCTGAATTCAACTGGGACTGAATATAAATCATGAATTGGCTGATAAATCATTGGAATAAACTGTCACCTGGACTAAGGTGAAGTTTTTCTTCTACTAAACAAAAATGATTGTTCCTGATCTTCGACCTGTTACTGTGAAATAAAATAACCATTTTAGCACACTTAATCTCCATACCACACCATGACACAGAACTTGCTATGTTGTTGCATGTATTACCTTGAATTAGCACTTGGTGATGCAACTGAACCATGATGGACAAATGCATTATGTCCCAACATTATGCTCTAGTTAGTTAGTTAAATGAGAAAACATATAGAAAGTGTGTAATAATACTTCCTATTGTCCTAAATATTTAGATAACAACATGAAATCTGCAGAGACCAAATTGATGAATATGGTTGTCAACATCTTGGTTAACAACAAATCAATTTGAAATAAAACTGAGATATTCTTGTAAATGGTCACTGAGTAGAGAATGAATTCTATATGGGCAGATACATGTTAAATCTTAAGGATGAAAGTGAACCCTTCAGAAATAAGTAAAAGAAAGTCATTCTACTCGGTTTCAGAGATAGCTCCAATTCCATATGTGGGGAAATGAAATTAAGTGGGTGTTTAAACTTTCCTTTGTTCTCATCCTCTAGTTTCACTTGTATCTATATGTTATCCTTATGATAACTCTGTGAGGGGTCAAGGAAAGCATGAATATGCATTTTTTTTCAGAGCATAAAATAATTATCATCACAGTTGTGAAACACAAGCCAGGGTGGAAAGAGAATGTTTTACTATAAGAAGGGGATCCTTCACTCGTCATCTGGTGGTATTTCTATTATGTAGATTCTCAACATGCCACCTGGGAGTTTTCAGTGCCAATAATACAGAAATATTCAGAATTTTACACACACACACACACACACACACACAAACACACACACACACTGTATGTTTATGAAGTGCAGTGCAAATGTATGGCATTATCATCTCATGAAGTGTTAGGTATGAGCCTCAAGTGTGATCTAGGACATCAGACCAACATTGGATCTATACTGCAGATGCTTCACTGTGAGAAAATCTTGCAAAGAAATTTCCAACATGCAAAGAGACTCTAGTGGAAATTATGACAGAAACCAAGAGAACAGAACATAGAGTTTTAATACTAATATGTTAGGACACGATAAAAATAAGTATCTTTTTACAGTAGGCATTGCTCTCAGCTTTTTAGAATTTTAGTGTCACTTTCTCCATTTCTTTTTACTTTCTCCATCTTTAAAAAGACAAAGATGATACAGGGAAGAGAAATTAAAAGAATTATCTGAATAAAAATTAGACCTGAGAATTAAGGAGTTGTCATTGTCTGTCTGAAAATGAAAAGGGGATCTAGTATTTAAAGCAGTTTTACCAGGCAGATATAGATCAGTTAAATATGAATATGTGCAAATGAGAAGGAAAACATTTTAATGCCCTATGAAGAGAGATGACTATGCAGGTCTGATTAAACCAGGCATAATAGGTATTGTCTAACCTATTGATCCTTTAAAAGTTGAAACATCGACATTGGAAAGTTTTAAATTATTTTTTCTTTGAAATGACTTTAACTACCATTCTATTTTAGGCCAATTATTTTGAACTTCTTGTTAATATTAATTAATATATACAGAAAAAATTCTCTCTTGTTTCTTTAGAAGATGATAGGTCACATTTCTATAACTAGAATTTTTATATATCACCACACTATACCTGTTCTTGAGAATAAGGAATTTCTTTTCCCATGATTTGTTTATCCGGTCTGATTCCCTCCTAAACCTGTAATAAATTTATAGATAGTTAAATTTTGTACTAGCTACAAATGAGTAGTTATGAATCATTATTTCCAGTACCTTTCTGCCAACTTTTTTTCAATCTCTAAATTTTCCTTTAACATTTCTAGTTCCTTCTCCATATTATGTTTCTCTTCACCCTTTCAATAGAAAACACATCACAAGGTTAACTACATGAACAATATACCCTTTTCTCCATAAAGCTGAAGGATTTCTTTGAGTATGTCAGGGTTATATCCCAGAATCATATTATGGAGGCAATCATGTCCTCTGTCTCTTCATAAAACTAATTCTCGAAGATGGCGGCATAGGTAAACACCTATACTCACTGCTTCCCACAACCACATCAAAATTACACTTAAAATACATAGCAACCATTATACAGAACCACCTGAAGCTGGATAAATGGAAGAACTACAACTAGATAAGTTAAGGAGAAAGCACACTGAGACTGGTAGGAGGGTGGAGACAGCCAGTTTTGCTGCTTCTCTGTGTTTGTTTCTATGTATTAGGTAGAGATGCTATGTTTCCTTCAATTGGTAAAATGCCTGGTGTATTAGGTGTCCTATAGGGCCCAGTGGGTCAGCCTCCCCAGTCACCTGAGCTGGGTCATGGGCTTTTTATTGATAAGTTTGGACCATATTGTCACCAACATGAAACAGGTTGGTCTAACACCCACATGTGCTGTTTTTGTTTGTTTGTTTGTTTGTTTGTTTGTTTTAATTGGGAGTGAGTTGTCTCTATGGGGGCTGCTGGTAAGAAACATGGCCCCAGACAAGAACCCTAGCACAGTTTTCCAGAGCTGGGAAAAGAAGTCCCCATAACTACGGGCTGTAAAAACCATCAGGGATTGTGGCTGAGTGACACAGAAGCTTGTGAAGACCCAGGAATTCCATTTAAAAGACCAGCCCACAAATGTCTCAGACTTATAACATGAGGCAGCTTTGGGGGACACAGACACATAGAGGGAAGCACTGGATTGTCTGGCATCGGGGCAGGAAATTATCAGCAGCTTTCTCCCATCGGGGATGTTCACAGGGGCCATTGTTCCTATGCTTGACCATCCCTGTCACAGGGCTGACTGGCAACCATATCTGAGTCTCCATCAGCCTGGGTGACATAATTTGTTCTGTTCTGGGGATCCCCTGAGGCCCTGCCCCATTCCATGTATAGTCCCACCTAAGCTGTTTGCAGGAAGTTTTCCATATTAATGGCTTGTTCTGGCTCAGGCTTCAGACTTTGCTAAAATCTCTCAAACTGCAGCTGGTGACAATGGCCCAAACCTACCAATAAAAGGCCCATGACCCAGCTCAGGTGACTGGGGAGGCTTAGCCACTGGGGCCTATAGGACACCTACTACACAAGGTATTCTACCAATTGAAGGAAACATAGCATCTCTACCCAATACATAGAAACAAACACAAGGAAGCAGCAAAAATGTGCAGACAAACGTCACAAATGAAAAAATGGAAGCAAGCAAACTACTGGATACAGAGTTCAAAACCATGGTTATAAGGTTACTCAAGGATTTTCATCAGACTTTCAAGGATCTTAATGAGAATGTCAAAGACATGAAAAAGGACCAGTCAGAAATTAAGCATATGCTAACTGGAATAAAGAATAATTTATAGGAGATTAAGAATGGCAGCAGACTAAATGGATGCTGCACAAAGACACTCCAAGGACCAAACTGGAATTACAATTAAAATACAGAAAAACTTCCTGAATAATCAAGAGATTCAATGGAGAGAACCATGATCACCGAGGACCAATAATAGAGATTGCATAGAGACTGGTAAGAGGGGCAGAATCACAAAAGGGCTGGCGGGCTCCCACAGATGGCAACTGAAGTTCTGGAGAGATATCTCAGCTAAGAAGGATACCCACATAGCATCTGGCTATGAAAAGTTACAAGGTTGCTGTTGCCAGGGAGAGACCACTGGAAATTCAGGCCTCTTAAAGGGCCAAAGCACAGAATTCTCTGTTGAGCCATCCACAGAAGGAGGGCAAGAGCGGACTGAAGCAGTGTGAGCAGAAGCCAGGATTAGGAGCTTTGGGGATAGCGCTCAGAAGACAAACACCCTAGTTTCCTGTGCTGTGTCATTCCCTCACACTGCAGAGGTCACCTTTCTCATGCAGATATTTGCTATACAGGTGGCCTTGCCTGGGGGGAAGACATCCTATTGGAAAACATCTTGCCCTAAGGTGCAGAGTTGCTCAGGACCATTAAAAGACTGGGAATAACAATTAGCCTCCAGGCACATGAAATTGCCCCATCCTGTTGAAAAAAAAACTCTTGCCACACCTGTGAATGATTGCCTGAAAGCAACTCAAGACAAAATCCTATCAGTCTGTAGATAGAGGTGGTCTCTGGATGCTTTGAATCTTTGCCTGACCTAATTAGTCAGAAACAGCATTTGACACTGTCCTACATAAAAGGTTGAGAGGTGTAGCAAATCTACTTAATATATATAGTCACAAACCCAAACAGGCAGCCAAAATGAGGTGGCAAAGAAACAGCCTCCAAATGAAAGAATAAGCAAATTCTACAGAATAAGAGATAAATGAAATGGAGATAAGAAAATTTACCCAATATTGAGTTCAGAATAATGATGGTAGAGATACTCAACAGCATGAAAAAAGATATAATAACTATAAAAACAGAAATAATGACATAGCATAAAGAGCACATTGGAAGGAATACTCAGCAGATTAGGGGAAACTAAGGATGGTAGCAGTGAATCAAAGACAGAATGCAAAAAAATCACTCAATCAGAGAACCAAAAAGAAAAAACAATTAATAGGAAGACAGCTTTAGGGAGCTGTGGGACAACATGAAACATAACAGTATTTGAATAACAGGTGTGCCAGAAGAGGACAAAAGGGATAGACAATGTGTTTGAAGAAATAATGGCAGAAAACTCCCTTAACCTCGTAAAGGAAAAAGTCAAACAAGTTCAGGAGTAACAGAGAACCTCAAGCAAGAAGAACCCAAGTAGGTCCACACCCAAACACATCATAATTAAAATGAATTTTCTGAAAGGGAAGTTCATAACACTACAAGGCTGACCTAAAAAAAACAACTATTTAACTCTTCAACTTAAAGAATTAGAAAGAGAACAAGAAAAGCCCAGAGTAAATAGAAGGAAGAAAATAATAAAGATTAGAGTAGAAATAAATGACATGAGACTAAAAAAAAAAATACAAAAAAATCAATTAAATCAAAAGCTGTTTTTCTGAAAAAATAAATAAATAAAATAAACAAAATTGGCTGTTAACCAGACTCATCAAGAAAAAGAGAGAGAGAACCCCCCCCAAAAAATAAAACCAGAAATGAAAGCAGAGTAGAAACCACTGACATCACAGAAATACAAAGGATTCTTACAAATACCATGAACAATTATAAGCCAACAAGCTGGACAATGTGGATGAAATGGACAAATTCCTAAAAAAATACAATCTCCCAAAACTGAATCAGAAAGAATCAGAAAATCTGAACAGGTCAATAATAACTGATGAAATAGAAGCAGTAATAATAATAAATAAATAAAACTCCTACCAAATAAAAGCTCAGGTCCACATGGCTTCACCAAGAAGTTTAGCAAACATTTCAAGAACTAAAACCTATCCTCCTCAGACTATTCCAAAAAACCCAAGAGGCAGGAATATTTCCAAGCTCCTTTTATTAGGCCAGCATTACCCTAATTCCAAAACCAGATAAAGACACTACAAAGAAAGAGAATTATAGGCCAATTTCTCTGATGAACATAGATGCTAAAAGGCTAAAAAAAAATACTAGCAAATAACATCCAGCAATATGTTAAAAAGATCATACACCATTACCAAATGGTATTTATTTCAGAGATGCAAGGCTGGTACAATATTCACAAATCAATAAATGAGTTATATCACATAAACAAATTGAAAGACAAAAATCACATGATCATATCAATAAATGTAGAAAAAACATTTGACAAAATCCAGCACCCATTTTTTATTAAAAACTCCAAGCAATAAAAACAAACAAACAAACAAAAACAAACAAACAAACAAAATCTCTAAGAAAATTGGGAATAGAGGGAGCATATGATAAAGACCACATGTGACAAACCTACAGCAAACATCATACTCAATGGACAAAAAGTAAAACCATTTTAAGTAAGAACAGGAACAAGACAGGAATGGTTTTCACCATTCTCATTCATCATTGTACTGGAAGTCTTGGTCCTTCAGATAAGATATAAAAGGCATCCAAATTTGAAAGAAGGAAGTAAAAATCTCATTATTCACAGATGACATGATATTGTACATTGAAAACCCTAAAGACTTCACCAAAAAACTTCTAGATTTAATAAATGAATTTGGCAATGTAGCAGGATACAAAATCAACACCCAAAAATCAATGGCATTTTTTTCTCCAATAATGAATTCTCAGAATAAGAAACTAAACAAGCAATCTTATTTACCATTGGAACAAAAAATTAAAATACTTAGGAATAAACTTAATTAAGAAGGCAAAAAACCTATATTCAAAAAACTACAGGATGTTGAAAAAAGAGATTGAAGAAGATATAAACAAGTGTATAAATATACTGTGCTTATGAATTGGTACAATTAACATCATTAAAATGTCCATACTACCCAAGGCAACCTACAGGTTCAATGTGATCCCTATTAAAATGCCAATATCATATTTTACAGATCTAGAACAAATAATCCAAAAATGTATATGGAATAAAAAAAATAGCTGCAGCAATCTTTAGAAAGAAGAACAAAGTTGGAGGGATCACAATACCAATATTCAAGTTATACTATAAAGCCATTGCAATCAAAACAGTCTGGTACTGGCACAAGAAATAGGCATATAGATCAACGGAATAGAACAGAGAACCCAGAAATCAACCCAAGCCATAATGCTCAATTAACATTTTACAAAAGAGGCAAGAGCATACAATAGATTCAAGACAGTCTCTTCAATAAATGGTACTGGGAAAATTTGATAGATACATGCAAAAAAATGAAACTAGAGCACCAACGTACACCTTGCACAAGAATAAACACAAAATGGATAAAAGACTTAAATATAAGTTGTAAAACCAGAAAAACCCTAGAAGAAACCATAAGCAGCAAAATTTCAGAC